TGAAACAAGGTGATGTTACGGAGGGTCTCAGAGACAGCCATGCCTTCCATTCATTACCAGCTGTTGGCTGAGAGTACGATAAAAGAACAGATTGAAAATTTCTACTCCGATCTCTTTCAATGACTAATCTGGTCTATGCTGGAGTCAGGGGAGGGGAAAGGAAAAGAAAGGAGGATTAAATAGGATTTAGAGCACAGATTTGGACTGCAGAAATGGGATTTCCAATTATAAAAGTAGCTGAAATATTATGGAGTCTACCCAGAATATTGTAAAGGACATATTAGAGTAATTTGATGAGATATGTGTGGAAGTACTGATAGTCAAAACAGTAAATATTGTTTCATGTTTAAGCCAGCTATAATAAAGATAATTAACATTTACCTACAAATTGATATGTGGCATTGCATATACTTTTCAAAAATCATCATTTGTATTTTCAAAATAACCCACTTTTTGGATAGCAAAACAAATTTGGAGAGAGCAAGATGGCAGCAGAGGATAAGGACAGGTTTAACTGAAGGAGAATCAGTAGCCAGAGTGGAGGAGAGAAGGCAGAGCAGATTCCAGGACATATGAGAGGATCAGCCAATGGCAGAGGGCGCCTAGAAACTACAGACATGGGAAAGCAGCAGAGACAATGGAGCGATGTTGCAGTGACCAGGTACCCCAGAGGTGGGTTCCACTAGCAGCCAGAGCTCCACTGGGGCCAAGTGGGAAGGGAGAGTTCACCAGGAGGTGAATCCAGACAAAGAACTGCCCATCCTGCTGCTTTGTTTCATCTGACCACAAGCACAGACAGAGCGGCAGACCCCAGGCAGGTAGTGCAGGAACAGGGTGAATTTCACAGCCCTGATCCCCACCAGTGCCAAATGCTGCGGACACAGCTGACCTATTAGAGGAAACTCTCTAGCCAGAAGAGAATGGAGTGAAATATTCCAGATTTTAAAGGGGAAAAATTATCAACCCAGAATAACATATCCAACAAAGCTTGCCTTTGTCTTTGAAAATGAAAGAAAATTCTTCCACAGTAAAGAAAAGGTCAAATAATTTGCCTCTTCCAGATCTGCCCTATAGGTGACACCTAAAGGAACAGCAACTACCAAAATCAAAGGCAAATGTGGAGAACACCCAGTAAAATGACAACAGAAGACTAAATTGAACAAAGAACAACCATTGCTAAAATGACAGGACGAAACTGCCACCTATCCATATTAACCCTGCCATCTATCCATATTAATCAAGACCTGATTACTCCACCCTTATCCAGCTCACTGCTAGTGGGCCTGGGAAAGCAGTGGAAAATGGCTCCAGTGCTTGAACCCCTCACCCACACGGGAGACCCGGAAGAAGCTTCTGGCTCCTGTCTGCCCTCACCCTGGAGGTCGTGAGCATCGGAGAAAGAACCAGTAGAGAGAGAGAACCAGTAGAGGCAGAGAAATCTACTAGGAACTTCCCTCATCAACTAGAAATGAACTATACTCCCATGTAACAAAGCAACCTAAGTGTCTAGCTCTGTCCCTTTAAGAATCAATCTTGAGGGCCTGATGTGGTAGCCTGGCAGCTAAAGACCTCGCTTAGAACATGCCTTGGTGGGTCCGGTGCGACGGTGCAGTGGTTAAGGTCCTTACCTTGCATGCCCAGGATCCCATATGGGCGCTGGTTCTAATCTCGGCAGCTCCACTTCCATCCAGCTCCCTGCTTGTGGCCAGGGAAACCGTCGAGGACGGCCCAAAGCCTTGAGACCCTGCACCCGCACAGGAGACCCGAAGGAGGCTCCTGGCTTTGGATCGGCGCAGCGAGTGAATCATCAGACAGAGGATCTGTCTCTCCTCTTCTGTGTATATCAGACTTTGCAATAAAAAGAAATAAAATTTTAAAAAAAGATCAAATCTTCAGAGTAAGAAGTTAAAAGAGTATTAACCCTCTCTACTGATAGCAAATGAAGTTTTTTTTCCAAGTACAGTTATGAAATTGTGGATGTATACTTTTCTAATAAATTATAGTAATTCTTGTTGATACTCAAACGTGGCCAGAATTGTTTATTCATCTTTTAGACATGCCCTCATCACTCTTTAAAAGCTTTATTTATATACTTATTTTTTGTTTTGAGAGGCAGAGAGACAAGAAGGATGGGTAGTGAGGAGGCATAAAGAATCTCTCTTTTACTTGTCATTCTGCAAAAGAGCCCCAGAGTCAGGGAACTCAATTCTCCCACATGAGTGGCAGAGATTCAAGAATGTGAGCCTCTCAGGATATACACTAGCAGGAAGCTCGTGGGACAGCTTTGTGGTGTAACAGGTAAAGCCATCCCTGAGATGCCGACACCCCACATAAGCACCACTTCAAGTCCCGGATGCTCCACTTCTGAACCAGCACCTTGCCAATGTGCCTAGGGAAGCAGTGCAGGATGGTCCAAATGCTGGGGTCCTTGCACCCATGTGGGAGCCCCAGAATAAGCTCCTGACTTCAGCTTGCCCCAGCCCCACCTCCAGCCTCCACTGCTGCAGTCATTTGGGAAGTGAATCAGTAAATGGATAACCTTTCTTTCTGTCTCTCCTTCTCATTCTCTGTAATTCTTTCAATTAAATAAAATAAACCTTAGAAGACAGCAACAACAAATAGGGGGGCTGGTGCAATGGCTCAATGGCTAGATCCTCGCCTGCAAGTTCCAGAATTCCATATAGGCACTGGTTCATGTCCCGGCTGCTCCACCTCCTATCCAGCTGCTGCTAGCCTGGGAAAGCAGTCAGGGACAGCCCAAAGCCTTGGGACCCTGCACCCATGTGGGAGACCTGGAAGAGGCTCCTGGCTCCTGGCTTTGGAGTGGCTCAGCTTCGGTCATTGTGGCCACTTGTGGAGTGAGCCAACAGATGGGAGATCTTTGTCTCTCCTTTTCTGCTTAAATCTGATCTAAATCAATGAACAACCCATTGCTAAAATGACAGGACCAAATTACAGCCTATTTTTATTTACCCTGAATGTAAATGGTTGAAACTCTTTCCAATAAAAATAAAATACATAGTTTAAAACACACACAAGCTGGAAGTGGGAGCTCTCCAATATAAGCTGTGGGCATCCCAAGCATGGGCTTAACTACTGTGCCAAATGCCTACCTCATCAGTCTTTAAACATTTCTTTCCTTTCCGCCACAATACATTGCTGTATACTCATCTTGAATTTTCTTTGCTACAGTATGGAGCTAGCCATCTTCCTAGCGAATTTCTTCTCATTGGGAATGTATTTAAAAATACTTACTGGGGCCAGCACTGTGGTGTACTAAGGATGCAGCCTGTGGCACTGGCATCCCAAATGGGTGCCAGTTGTGTTTTGGCTGCTCTGCTTCTGATCCAGCTTCCTGCTAGTGTGCCTGGGAAGGCAGCGAAAGATGGCCCAAGTGCTTGGGTCCCTGAACCTATGTGAAAGACTTGGAAGTAGCTTCTGGCCCCTGGTTTCAGATTCAGCCCAGTTATAGCCACTGCAGTCATTTGGGGTGTGAAACAATGGACGGAAGATCTCTCTCTCCCTCTTTTTCTCCAACTCCTTCAGGTAAGTGAATAAACTTTGAAAAATACGTGTTGTTTCGGGGAGGTTGTTTCACCTCCCTCTAATGAACAGTGCTGGAAAATACCATTCTTTGTTTGAGAAGCAGACACCACACACACACACACACACACACACACACACACACACACACACACACACATATGGCACAGAAGCTAGGGGTAGGGTTAGGGAATGGAAGGCACCCAACCACCTAAGTCCTCCCCAGCTGTATCAGCACGAAGCTGGCATGGACTGCAGAGCCAAGACACAAACCGAGGTCCTTTGACATGTGGTGGCTTAGCCACTGGGCTAAATACCTAAGCCTGGGAACCACATTTTTAAAAACATTATGGGTTCAAGTTGACAAATAATTTGCAGATGAATACAGATCCAAGCAGGAAACTTCCATCCACAGGTTCACTCCCCACACGGTTGCAATGGCTGCGGCTGGGCCAGGAATCTGGAACTCGGCCTCATCCATCCACTGCTTTCCCGTGTGCAACAGCTGGGAGCTGGTCCGGAAGCAGAGTAACCTGGACTCAAACCACTGTCGAAATAGGAGGCCAACGTCGCATATGGTAGTTAATCCTGTGTGTACAACGCTGCTCCTATAATGAATGTTGGATGTCCCCAGAAGGAGAGCTTGTGGAAATACAAGGTGAGCAATGATAACTAAGAGAAAACTGACTTCCACAGGGACAATTACAGACACCAGTGATGTCAACTTTGTGGTGAAAGACACTGGCAGGAACCATCACCGCAGCGCGAGAAGGGGCTTTCTCGGTGTCACGTATTTTCACTCCTATTACCCTCTTTCTGTGACGAATCCATAAATGTAACCTAGAAGGCGAGAAATAGCACTTTCCAAACCTGATTCGGAAGGGAATTTTTGCAAGAGCTTCGTGCCAACGCTCTGTTCCAGAAAAAAAGCCAACCTAGCGCGTACCTCAGGAAGAACATGGCGCTCCCGGGTCCCGGGCAGACCAGAGAGGTGACGGCTTCCACGCGGGCTAGAGCGGCCCCGCAGGCCAGCGGGGACTTCCGGGGCGGGGTGAGCTGGCCCGTTCCCTTCCGCTAGGGGAATGTGGGTCTCCGGTCGCGGGAAGCTACGCGATTGCTTGGCCGCCGCTTCCTGCCCGCTGAGACGGTACCTGAGCCTAGGGGCCGCCATGGCCAAAAGCAAGTTCGAGTACGTGCGGGACTTCGAAGCTGACGATACCTGCCTGGCCCACTGCTGGGTGGTGGTGCGGCTGGACGGCAGAAACTTCCACCGGTGAGCGAGCGCGGCTCGGCGTGCGGCGCCCCGCGGGAGCCGCCCTGGGCTCGCGGTTGCCCGGGTGACGCGGCAGCCAATGAGCGCGCGGCCCTGAGCGTCTCCCAGGGAGCTGAGCCGGGTGGGACTGTGTGCTAGTCCAGAACGAGAAAGTGGAGCGAGGTGCTTCTCGGGCGAGGTCTCGGCTTGAAGCGCCGGGCTTAAAGTCCTCAGCCAGTCACACAGTGATCCGACCAGCTGGCTGCGACTTAAGGGTTCTGGGTAGGCCCTGCTGTGGCCTTACTCTACTGTGTGTCCGTAGTTCATTGTCAATTATAGGCCACAAGGACTGAGTCCAGAAAAGTCATGGGGGAGAGGGGCGAAAGGAGGGTAATAAAGAAGAGCGTCGTTTATTTTAAAGGACGGGTTTATTAATGATGGTCACTGTGACAATTTTGGAGCATGTATTCGGGGTCATCGGCAATTACATTTGTTATCAGTCCGATGAGGTAAGTACCATCTGTGCCCACTTTTCAGAGAAGGGACTGGAGCTTAGCAGTTTTGTCCCCTTTTCTCAGTTGCTCAGGAAATGAAGGAGCCAGAGTTTTTAAAATCAGTTAGGTGGGGGTCAATGGAGTGTTTGGATTCACAGTACTGGTGCCTTTCTTTTTTTAAGGTTTTATTTATTGTTATTGGAAAGGCAGACTTATGGAGAGAAGGAGATAGAGAAAGATCTTTCTTCCACTGGTTCATCCCCCAAATGGCTACAACAGCCGGAGCTGAGCCAATCAAAAGCGAGGAGCCAGGAGCTTCTTCCTGGTCTCCCATGGGTGCAGGGCCACTGGACCTTCGGTCATCCACCACTGCTTTCCCTGGCCACAAGCAGGGAGCTGGATGGGAAGTGGTAACAGGCAGGGCGTGAGCCAGCTGCATGTGGGATGCCAGCACTGGCAGGTGGAGGATTAGCTAATTGAGCTGTCCTGCCAGCCCTGGTTACCGTATCTTAGTAGCCTCTGTCGTCTGTGTTGCTAATGATAAACTTCGGCAGCCGTACCCTGTGCCCTGTTCTCTTTCCACTGTGAAGGTTTTCAGAGAAGCACAACTTTGCAAAACCAAATGACAGCCGTGCCCTCCACCTGATGACCAAGTGTGCCCAGACTGTCATGGAAGAACTGGAAGACATAGTGATTGCCTACGGGCAGAGCGATGAGTATAGCTTCGTGTTCAAGCGGAAAAGCAATTGGTTTAAAAGACGAGCCAGGTAATTCCAGAATCCGTCCCATCAGCCGCTGCTCCTGTGCTGGTCCTGGTTGCAAAGTTACACACTACACAGGAGCTCCGTAGACTTCTCAGCAGTTGCAGAGTGGATGTAGACTGCCGGTTAGAGTCCAGCACTCCCCCCGCACCGGGCACTCCAGTGGCCTCTTGATCCGATGGCTTCCCCTCGGCGCCCACTCGGCTCAGCTTCTCGCTTGGGTGGAAACTGCGGAAGCATGTGCTCTAATGATTCCTAGGCCGCTGTAGCCAGGGACAGTCTCCACAGGCAGTGTGTGTTGTTTATATATATATGTATATAATACATTTATATATTTATATAATTTTATAACATTATATTTACTTATATAACTATATATACATTTATATAAATATAAATATTACACACATACAAATGTGTATAATTACGTATTTGATTTGGTAGTATTTTTGACACTCATTTAATACGTCAGTATGCTTTTTTAAAAAAATGATCCCCTCACTCAAAGACCCAAAACAAACTCGAACTGGTGGTTTGCATCATGTCCATCAGAGAAAAAAATTATGGTGTTCATAAGTTCCTTAATAAAACCGAAAGGAAAGATGGTCTGCATTCAAAATATAGACCCAAGATATTAAAATAGCTTTGCCTAACCAAATACGTTTTATCTCTGGGCTTGCTGGGTGGTTTGTGTAATCTCCCTGTCGCACCCACAGGCTCTGTCAGGGTGCTGAATTAATGTCATGTCTCTTTTCTTTTTTTTCTCTTTTCTTGCTCCACCCAATGTGCTTTATGGTCGCAAGTAAGTTCATGACGCACGTGGCCTCCCAGTTCGCGTCTAGCTATGTGTTTTATTGGCGGGATTACTTTGAGGACCAGCCCCTTCTGTATCCCCCAGGCTTCGATGGAAGAGTGGTGGTGTATCCTAGCAACCAGACCCTAAAGGACTACCTCAGTTGGCGGCAAGCCGATTGTAAGTCAGTCACCAAGCACGGGCGTTAAAGGGGTTCACCGGGTACAGGTTTGGCTCCTGTGGATTTGGGTTGCAATCTGATGTTTAAAGTTTAAAAGTAGCGTTAGCTATTAAGTTGGGAAAGTCTAAAACCTCCAAAACCTCCCTAAGGTTTTCATTTTAAGCCAGAAGATGTGGCAATATCGGCTCTGCAGTGGCACATAGCATCTAACAGAGCTGTGTGGTGGCAGCTAGCTTTACACACACAGGAGCCATTGTGCCCGTCTTTGCCCTTCCCTGTGGTCGCCCGCTGCTTTACGTATTTGTGTGTTTGACTTCTGATGCCTGCTCATTTGGTTTATGTTGATGTTGCCGGGGGACAGGTGGACAGGTTTGTGGGTGGCATCAGTGGAATGGCCAAGTGAAGCAGTGTCTGGCAGTGTCTGCTCTTCTCCTGTCCTGGCCTTCTCCGTTCCCCGGTCGGACCCAGAGGGGCAGTGCGAGTGCCGAGAACGATTCTGTGCAGATCCTCAGGACTGTCTGTTCTCCCACAGGTCACATCAACAATCTCTATAATACAGTTTTCTGGGCGCTGATCCAACAAGCTGGACTGACACCGGCACAGGCCCAGGGGAGGTTACAGGTATTACCATCTTGCTGCACTCTCAGCTGCAGATAGCTGCATCCTGGCTGTCTCTGACAGCACTGTCTTTTTCTTTCTGTCTCTCTCTCTTTTTTTTTTTAGCATTCCCTTTATGACCTGTTTTAGCCCCTTTTATAGTTTTGCTCTGAGAAGAAATGGCAGTCATGACAGTAATGGTTCTGCCATTTGCTTATTCCGTGAGCATGGGGTGTTATGTCTTCTCCCGCAGCTGCCATGTCCTCCGCTGCAAAGTGGATTGAATGGCAATAGCCCTCCTTGCCCGGATGGAGCTGTGAACTAACTGTTCTCTGTGTGCATGGCACTGCCATCTTGTTCTCAAGTCCCACCAGGCCTCTTGACTCTCCCAGTGCCCTGTCATTTCTGCTGGGTTCATGATCCCTGTGTGTAGTAAGAACGCATGCTCTGGGACTCAAATAACCATACTGGTTTTCATGTTTCTGTTTAATTTTATCCTCTTTGCCGCAATTCGTCAGATTGATAGGTAAAATATGGAAAATATGATTTGCTGTCTCATAGGTTTATGGTGAAAATTAATGGGCATGATACATGTAAAACACAGGATTGCAGAAAGTACAATCTCAGTAGTAAATATTTACTTACAGTAGTGCTGCTTGTAAGATGAGTGACCGTGAGGTGGAGTGACACCGTGCCTGGCTCATTAGAATTGCTGGGCCTATGGTTGTCTTAGTCAGTACTGCTCATGGTGAAGATGTCCATTTAGCAACAGTAGGAGTACTAGTAGGTATATCTGACATCTGGAAAAGGCAGGTTTGGGTTTTGATTCTTGGAAGATTAGAGACATCCTTCAACGGTGGGTAATTTTAGAGCGACTAAGCTTCCCTTTTCTGCTCTCTAAAGTGACAATCCGATCAGAGAAGAACCACCCAGTGCCTGGTGTGGTGGGGGTGCTTGCTTACCGCATCTGCTTCTCATCCCCCAAGAGCCGGGGTTTGCTGCAGAGAAGAATTTTTTTGTTTTGAAGATTTATTTATTTTTATTGGAAGGCCAGATATACATAGAGAAAGACAGAGAGGAAGATCTTCTGTCCACTGATCCACTCCTCAAGTAGCCACAATGGCCAGAGCTGAGCCAATCTGAAGCCAGGAGCCTTCCCTGGGTCTCCCACATGGCTGCAGGGTCCCAAGGCTTTGGGCCATCTTCAACTGCTTTCCCAGGCCACAAGCAGGGAGCTGGATGGGAAGCAGGGCCACAGGGACATGAACTGGCGCTCATATGGGATGCCTACACAGGCAAGGCGAGGACTTTAACTGCTAGGCTACCATGCCAAGCCCCAAAGAATTTTTTTTTTTTTAAAGATTCACTTATTTATTTGGAAGAATCACAAATAGAGATGGACAAAGAGAGAGCGAGATCTTCTTTCCACTCGTCTCTCCCCAAAATGACCAGCAAGGCTGAGCCAGGTTGAAGCCAAGAACCTGGAACTCCCATGAAGGTGGCAGGGGTTCAAGGTCTTGGCCCACCCTCTGTTGCTTTCCCACATGCATTAGCAGGGAGCTGGATTGGATGTGGAGCAACCAGAACTAACACCGGCACTCATGCAATGCTGGCATCGTTGGCAGTGGTTTAACGTGCTAGACTACGTTTCCCCCAGGAAAGAGCTGTAGGGAGGTATATATCTAAATAAGATCTGAGTTGCTCATTAGTAACTCTCAGGTGTTACAGGCCTGCTGCTTCTAGGTTTGTTTTAGAGTTGAGATAGAGGGCAAAGGGACTGCTAGCCTATGGGAGGGGGAAAGCATACAGAGTTTTAGATCCCTATTTTTTTTTCCCCCAGGGAACTCTGGCAGCAGACAAGAATGAGATTCTGTTTTCTGAATTCAACATCAACTACAACAATGAGCCAGCGATGTATAGAAAAGGAACCGTGCTGATTTGGCAGAAGGTAATGCAGCTGCATTGCAGTGTAAGATGGAGGACAAGCAAGCAGGAGAGCCGGGAACCTCTCAAGCTCGTCCTGCCTGCTTGCTGCGTGCTGAGCTCACTCTGGCCGCCGACCTATCCCAGACCCTTTGCAAAAGGAGTATGCCGTTGGATATCTGTTTTGTTAGCCGTGTGGAATCCACCCATGTGAAGCAGTACACAGAATTGTAGGATTGTTGGTGTCAGGCTTTGCCCAGGTCACAAACGCCCATTAAAGGGGCCCGTGCAAAGTATTCGTCTCCCATCCTGGATTCACATGAAAGGATGTGTCTGTTCCATGACAACTAAACTAGGAGGCACCAGGAGATGCTGTAGATGGAATTTATGGGTTTCAGGAATTTCACAAGAGTCCCCAGATAGTAATGTTCCATACTAACTCTGCGCGTGGGCCACAATCTTTCTCTGCCTATACTCTTTAGCATAATGATTTTTCTAAATGTATTGCCTTCCACATGAAATTTTTTAAAATGAATGCTTTCATACAAATGGTTCCTCAGTAGCCAGTCCTTCCACTGACAATTTTGGCTCTTACGTTAGTATTTTCAGAAGCACTTGTTCTTTGCAATGGAGTTGGTTACTGTGTGATGCAAGTGAGAGGAAAGAAACATCTTTAATTCTGTCATTGCTGCTAATGAGGAGGGTCAAATCCCTTCTTTGTTCTAAGAGTCTCTTTTTTTTAAGATTCTGTTTATTAGGAAGGGAGATTAGAAAGGCAAATTTACAGAGTAAAAGATCTTGCATCTGCTGATTCACTCCCAAAGTGCCCTCCTTGTGCCTTGGGAAAGCAATAGAAGATGGCCCAAAGCCTCAAGGACCCTGAACCTGCCTGGGAGACCTGGAAGAAGCTCCTGGTTCCTGGTTTTGGATTGGCCCAGCTCCCGCCATTCAGCTACTTAAGGAGAGAACCAGCAGATGTAAGATCTCTCTCTGTCTCCTCTGTAAATCTGCCTTTTGTATAAAAATTTAAAAATCTTATAAATAAACAAGCAAAAATAGGGATGTCAGTAGAAAAGTGAACTTCCCCCCTATTTTTGTGTTTTCTTCCAAACCTGCTTTTGGGTTAACAGTGCCACACCTTTCACTTTTACCCATAGGTGGGTGAAGTCATGACAAAAGAAGTTAAGCTGCCAGCAGAAATGGAAGGGAAGAAGATGGCGGTGACTCGGACCAGGTCTAAGCCGGTACCCTTGCACTGTGACATCATCGGAGATGCTTTCTGGAAGGAACATCCTGAGATCCTGGATGACGACAGCTGACCCCACGCTCTGCGGTCCTGGCGTGCTGGACCATGCAAGGCCCCTGCCTCTCCCTGCCTAGGCTGACTGCCCGGAGCAGAGTCAGGAAAGAAACCACGCAAGCCGGAAGGGGAGCAAAGAAGGGATGGATGCAGGAAGTGGATCTTGTGCTACTTAAACAGAATAGCCTTTTGCAGTGTTGGAACATGGTTCCTTTGATTTGTGTGTGTGTGTGTGTGTCTTCCAAATTGTACTGTTTTTATGAAGCAGGAACTCTCTCATGCTTTGCAGAATGAATCATTTTCAGGTTGTGACATACACCACACAGAAACCTGTCAGCTCATCTCACCCACAATGGAAGAGGAACCAGATTTTATTCTCAGCTACCGGAGAACGCGGTGACTTTGAAGGCACACCTCTGTCCCACCTGCGCATCGCTTGCCATCATCCATGACTGCCTGGGCTAATACCTCCAACAGTGTCTCTAAATTCAGGGGTCCCAGGGAAAACTTGGGGTGTGCTGGTCTCCCAAGTTGTCAACTTCAGCTGGAGAAGGGGGTGGGTGTGCACGTGTCTTCACATTCCATGGACTGATTTTAGGGATTGTTAACCTCATCATCTTCGTCTCTCTTGGCCACTTTGCAAGACCATTTAGCTCATTGTAGGGAAAAAGGTGTGAAGAGGAGAGAAAGAAAATGTCAGAGTGAGTGAGTGAGTGAGTCTGGGGAGGCACCAATTAAATGTTCATTTCCCCAAATTGCTTCCTGTTGGATTTCTTGAAAATATTCTCAAATGGCTTCTATGTGACATGTGACTTGAGGAAGAGAGGGGTCGGTGTGCCCTTTGGGGTCTCAGGCGGCAGATGTCAGAGGAGGCATCGTAACTTCACCTGTTGATGGAAGCTGTGAGCCTCCGGGTGGTGGCAGTGGGCTGGGTGGTGACAACACCCACGTTTCCTCTCATCCGTGTTCAGTATTTCAGAGGAAAAGGCTTATTTGGCTCCGTTAAGAATTAATTAGGAGACAGCCCACATCCCCGTGCCTCGTCCTGGCTGCAGAGCTCACAGCCAAGAAGAAAATGTTTTTGAAAGGGCAGTTGCTAGCCTGGGTGAGGCTTGCTAACTGGCACCCAATCTGTCAATGTGGGTTTTTTTAAAATTTTGTTTTGGGTGTTCTCCCCTCCTCCTCCTTGTTCATGCCCTGTAGGAACAGGAGATACAGCTCATGTCGTACAATTTCTAAAGTTTCAGGGAAACAAAGTTTAAGCTTGTTTGGCTATTATTCACAGATATGTGAGTCATGTGTATCTGGGCACAGCAGATATTACAGGGGTTCACTGACTTCTCTTTGTGCAAAAACAAATGGCTACTGGGCCTGGAGCGGTAGCCTAGCGGCTAGGGTCCTCACCTTGCATGCACCAGGTGCTGGTTCTAATCCCGGCAGACCCACTTCCCATCCAGCTCTCTGCTTGTGGCCTGGGAAAGCAGTCGAGGATGGGCCAAAGCCTTGGGACCTTGCACTTCATGTGGGAAGGCTTGGAAGAAACTCCTGGCTCCTGGCTTCGGATCGGCACAGCTCTGGCCGTGGCAGCCACTTGGGGAGTGGCTTTATCTGGGTCTCAGGTGTTACCTGGCTGCTTAGTTACCACCAGTTCTGGAGCTATCAGTGTTGTGGGAGGTTCTGATTGCTGGAGCCACCACACAATCTGTGACATTCCTGCAGAGCCACTGTGAGAAGGCTTTCATTGCATCCTTGGTGATATGTGTCCTAATGTGTTTTCAGCTCCTGGGCTTCCACTGAGTGTCACACGGGGGCAGCTGGTGTCATCCTGACAGTTTGGGAGAGTGCTGGTGGCAAGGTGGTCTGTGTGGCATCGGCCAGGCTGTGCTGGATGGGGGGAACTACTTGAGCCTTCAGTCACTTTAACATCAGGAACAATGAGGTGGGGGGTGGGATGTTTGGGATAGCAATCAAGAAGGCCCTCAGGGCGGCCTGGCTTCTAGCCCCATCTCCTGCCTATTCCAGCTTCCAGTAAATGGCCCCCCTCTGCTGGACCACTCTGCTGCTGGAATTTGGCAAATGAACTAGCAAGTGAAATTAAAAGAACACATTGTATGTTCTGCTGAACTATACAGCTAACAGCTAGGGATCAAATTTTGTGCATCTTTCATCTTGCTCTCCAAAGAGCTGGGTCTTCAGTGCTTCCACTTGTTAGCAAGGCTCAGAAAATCAGTAATAAAAAGAATTTTTCTCGTCATTATGGCCTCTCCAGCCTGAATCCATTTTTTTTTTTACTCGTATAGGAAATTAACTGAAATCCACCCTTCCTTAAACGATGCATTTGTTAGTGACCCTACACGCTGTGTCTCAATCCTGAGGGCAATTCTGCGAGGTGGGTGCTGTTTCTATCCTATTTGAGAAGGGTGAATAACAGCCCAGCCAGGCACACCCCTGCACCCCGCCCCGCCGCTTGGGCTGCAGTTTCCGAGAGCTCCATCATGGAATCAGGAGTTTTAACAAACGTCCTGACACGATATCAGATGAAGAGCGACCACCCGGGTCAGCCGGGCGCGGGGGCGAGGCGAGGCCCGGTGCACAGGAGCCGGGCGCCGCGCACGCCGCGGGAAGGGCCGGAGCGCGGGCAGGTGCTGCCCCCCAGCGGCCGCGCCCGCGCAGGGCGGCCCCGTGCTGCGGCTGCGCAGTGCCGCCCTCTGGCGGCCCCGCTCCTTCTTCCCATCGGCCTCGGCTTGCGGGCCTTTCAAACATGGAGGAGCGGGAGCGGGGGGCGAGGTCGGCTCGCGCCGGGAGCCCCGGGGGCCCGCCCAGCCCGCGGCTGGACGTCAGCTCGGACAGCTTCGATCCGCTGCTGGCCTTGTACGCGCCCCGAGTGCCTCCCATCCCTTACCCCAACGCCCCCTGCTTCAACAACCTGGCGGCGTACGAGAGCTTCCTGAGGACCGGGAGCCGGGGCGGCGGGCGCGGGAGGGCGCGGGGCGTCCCCGCAGGCTCGGGGGGCTCCGCCGCCGCCCCGGGGCCCTCGGGCAGGTCCCGCCGCCGCCCCGACGCGCCCGCCCCGGACCCCGAGCGCATCCAGCGCCTCCGGCGCCTCATGGTGACCAAGGAGGAAGAGGATGGGGCCGGCGGGGCGCCCCGGCGGGGTCCCGGACGGAACAAGAAGGCGCCGCGGAACGTGCTCACGCGAATGCCCCGTGAGTCCGCGGGCGGGCGGCCGGGGCCGGGCGTGTGCGCGGGGCGATCGCGGCGTGGTGCCGGAGGGGTGGGGTCGGGGGCGACTGGCAGGCTGTGTGGGTGTTGGGAGCTTTGGGGGGGAACAATATGCAAAGGTCGTACAGGTTCTATGACAGAAGCGTCCACAGGACGGCCTGCGGGAGCGGGGTGGGGGTGCATGGGAGTGTCCACAGTTTTGGGGGGTGGGGCGGGCATTGCAGGGAGGTCTGCAGAGGTAGTGAGAGGTCTTGGGTACCACCCTGGGAAGGTGAAAGGAGGGCAGACACTGGAGCACATCCACTGTTACAGGAAAGGAGTGTATGGTCGATAGCGTTGGGGATGAGCAGGCTGGAGTGTGGGGAAGTCTCTTCAGGTCACACAGGGGACATGACCTGCCAAGTAAGCCCAGCACCTCATTTCCCCAGCACGGTGAGCTAGACTGGAGCGGGACTACAGCTCTGGAGCACATTTGTTCATGATACTCGGTCCCAAGTGCCGGCACGCAGCGGGCACAAAATGACACTACCACCCACCTGCCAGGCTGCGGGCAGGACTGGGTCTGTCAGGCTCCTGGTTCTAGATGCGCAGGTGATTTTAAGTCCTGAAGGTGCAAATGGTCCTAAGGGGATTTCTTGGAGCCTCCTACTAGATCCTTGGAAGAAAGCTGGCAAGGCGGACGTGCCTGTGTGCGAGCTGACCTGTGTCCTCGGCACAGGAACAGCCCAGAGTTCTACCTTCTGTTGTCAGGCACGCAGTGCTGACATCTGCCCTGTGAACACAGTGACCTACTTTGCCATTCACGGCATCTGCATCCTGATCATTCGATTGCTACATTATTGAGGCTCTGAGTTCTGAATGGAGGGGCGTGCCAAACGAGGGACTATTTTGTTGCGTTCCTAGAGAGGTGTTTATTACAGAGAGCAAGATCCTGAAAAGCATGGGTGTACCTGCTGGAGGAGGTCTGGTGGGGCATCTCAGCCCAGTGCAGCTCGGCTTGCCCTGACCAGTGCTCCTGCAGGGAGAGCCGTGGGGCGGGGGCTCTTATGTAGCCCTTGAGGCCGTTCAGATCAACTGCAACTCTCAAATAGTAACATTTTATTTCTGCTGAACCGCTATGGCTTTGCTACTCAGACTGTGGGAGAGGGATTTCGCTGTGGCTGGATATTCATGTGACTGTAGAACCCATTATGGTTAAGGCAGTGTGCGATTTTTCTTTATTCAATATACATGCTGTCGGTTTCCTATGTTAACGATACCTGGAGTCGAGATCACAGAGAAGGGCCCAGGAGAGAGTTGAGTGTGCACGACGGAGTGGGTTGATAGCACGAAGAGCTGGCAGCCTTCAGAAACAAAAGTCACACAAGCTTTAGCGTTAGACTCGGTAAAGAAAGTGCTTAGATAACTTTAGGTCTTGAAATTGAAGAAGGCATGGTTGAGGGTAAGAATTATTTCAACATCAGGTTATAAAAATGTAAACAATATGGGTTAATACAGTGGTATAGCCAGCTGATCCTCTGCCTGAAGCACTGGCATCCCACATGGGCACCAATTCAAGTACCACTGCTCCACTTCCTATCCAGCTCCTGGCTTATGTCCTGGGAAGGAAGCAGAGAATGACTCAAGTCCTCGAAGCCCCTGCAGTCACATGGGAGACCCAAAAGAGGATCCACGGTATGGCAAGGCTCACCTCCGGCCATGTGGCTGTTTGGGGAGTGAACCAGCAAATGGAAAATCTCTCCTTCTCTCTGTAACTCTGGCTTTCAAATAAAAATAAATCCTTCCAAAAAATACAAGAAAAAAAAGTGTAACCAGTAGCCAAACGAGTGTTAACATGTGATGCTTTGAAAGGCAGAGAATGATAGAGAGATCTCAAGACTGAGAGATCGCCTCTGATTCATCTCCCAGATTCTCAGGCTGCTGGGCCAGGCCAAAGCCAGAAGCCTGGCACTTCTTCCAGACCTCTCATGCTGGCAGTAGTGACCCAAGGGCTTGATCTGTCACCGCCTGGCTCACAGGAAGCCAGAGCGGAAGTGGAACAAGCACCAGAGCCCAGGAGCTCCCATGGGGGGTGCAGGTGGTCCAGGTGGTGACTGGATTAGCCACTGTGGCAAACACCGACCCCAGAAGTGACTTGATGTGGAGCCTGCCCGGGTTTGTTCGTTGGCTCGCCCATCCTCTACCTGGTTTACTTTTGGTTAAGTTCCTGGGCATCATTTGCTTTCCTGCCTTTATAGAATGAAGGCAAGAATAATATCCCCTCATTGTGGTGAAGATTAAGTTAACACATTTGAAGCAATGAAAACAGTAATTTTCTCTGGCACAAAAAGGAGGTTTTCAGTGAACGCTAAATGTCATTGTCACTGCTGGTTCTTGTGGTGATTATGATTTAATTTATTATGAAAATTTGTTATTACTAACAACGAAGAGACTCCCTCATCCACAGGTTCACTCCCCAGGAACTCAGCCCAGGTCCCCATGTGCATGCTATGAGCCCCACTACCTGACCACCACCTGCTGCCTTCCGAAGTTAGCACTGGTAGGAAGCCAGCAATGGGAAGACTCAGGACTGGAACCAGACAGACCGTATGCTTGTGGGCATGCCCCATGACCTCTTAACCACTGTGCCAAACACCCTTCCTCCGTTAGTACTTTCACCTGCCCCAGGTTTGAATGCATGAGATTTGCCTGTCGTGAGTGCTGGCTCAGCAGCTGACCATGTAAGTCACCTCATCTGTCAGGTGGGTGGCTTAAGAGTATCTATCTGTTAGGATCGTAGCACATATTCAGATTTAAACTTGTCCCAGGACCTGGCTTGCACAGAAGGCCCAGTAATGGTGGTGATGGTGGTGGTGAGGATGATGATGTCGGTGTGAATGGGTGGAGAGAGGGAGACTTAGAGTAAACTCATCATCTGTCAAAGCTCTGAACTGCACTATTCTGTGGAAACAGAAAGGAAAGGTTCCTGAGACTCTTATGATTGAATTTAGTGATGGCTGCCCGCAGGGAGAAGGAAAGGGGCAGCTGAGACTGACCTGGGTTTGGAATCTGGAAGAATGCCTTCCTCCAGCCTCAGGCGTCTGCTTGTTTCCCTGCTCAGTCGTAGAAGCCGCCTGGTATCTCTTCGGAAATGCCAGAGAGGATAGCTTGCATTCAGAGTGAGAACTGGGAGCTGGTGTGTGCCTTGGCTGTTGACTCTCTGAAACAGGATTGTATTTTTAATCACACGGGGGAGAAATTACACCTTTGGAAAAAAATAATTCAGAGAAACGTACAGTTATGAGAACTCAAAGACCTGAGTTTGTTGTTTATTTAATTAGGACACATGCTTGCCCTCTGGCTCTGTTGGAAGGTGTGGGGAAGTAGAGTGATGCTGCTATATATTTTTTTAACATGCATATTTGGGAGTTAGGGGTGGTGCATCTGATTAGGTAAGGGAGCCATCCAGGCATTGTGTTTAGTTTCTAAGGAAGGGCATTCTAGGCTTATTCCTGAAATCAATCCAGAAGTTAACTCCTCTGACCTCTTTTGGTGAAGGAGGAACATTGGGCTTGGGAACACAAAGTGATGCAGGGAGGTCACGCATTAGTGACAATGGCCTGGACGATGGCCATGTTTACAATGCCTGCCTTAACATGGCCTCTAACTGATGCAGACATGTGTGTGCAAACACACACACACACACACACAAACACACGTAACCAGAGTTATAAAATGCTGCAGGAGAGAGGTAGATGGTGAAGGGTAGTGGTTTGCGTCCAGGGCCACTGTGTCTGCCTCTTGGCCTCCAATTTATGCCTCATTGCCAAATCTTCAATGTGACAAACTCCTACTTCTCATCTGCTAAGTCACTGCCTTCCTATTTTCTATCTTCTTTTTAAAGAAAGAAGTATTCTGAGGGAGATTAACAGAAGCACATATATTAACATATATATCACACATATATTTATATATGACATATATTATGTATTTACACACATATGTTCTTACACTTACTTAAAATATAGCGAGGCAGCAATCTCCCATCCACTGACTCACTCCCTCAGATGCTTGGGACAGTCAGGGCCAGGCTGAAGCCACAGCTAGGAACTTCATCCTGGTGTGAGTGCTGGGGACTCAGCTACCTGAGCTGTTATTTGCTGCCTCAGGGTCCATGTTAGGAGGAAGCTGCTATTGGGAATGGAGCTGAGAATTGAACCCAGACGTTCTCACAGGAATGTGGGTGTCACAAGTTGCCTCCCAACTGCTGTGCTGACCCCACTGGCATTTTCTGTTATTAATTTATCACAGCTTTTGCTGGTCAAGAAGGACATAGCTTCCCAGCCTGAAGTGCAGGGTGGCTCCCTAATCCCCGAAGATGAAACAGATTATTTGGGTACTGTCAGTGGCAAACACCGGCCAGAGAATTTTGCCTTGTAGAACTAGAAGAGAAAAATCAAGACATATGCGGCTGGGGGGCAGGAGGAGAGGGATTTTCTTTGGGAAAATCCATGCTGCAGGTAGCATGTTGTGAGATCTTAAGTTACCATGGAATGATAAAAATACAATTCAGTCCTGCTCCCTAGCTCTGAGAAAAGAATCCCTCACAATAAAAGCTCAAGTCTGCAGTCCCAGCAGCTGTGCTGGGCGTCAGTGCACTGCTCTTTTCTGGAGGTGCTTCCCACAGTGCCCAGCAGGGGCCTTCACACCGACTCAAGGCCTGGGACACCAGCAGCACGCTCCCTCCGAGTGCGAAGATTCTGCACACTGAAGCCTCAGCACTAGCAAGAGCCACTGCATGGAGGACGAAGGGCCTTTCTCTTAGAGAGGACTGAACACATGTCCATGGGCAAATGTAGTCCACAGCTCATGTCCTCCCAACATGACCAGAATTTTTGGCTTGGAAAACTCTAGCTGCATCTGTGATTCGTGAGAATCATGTTGAGGGAAGAAAAGCTATTTTAAGGCACAGAATTGAGAAGGATGTTCAGCTATTAGAGGTATTATTTCATTTTAGTCCTCAAAAGTTGATAGTGCATCTTAGGATCGGTGGTACCCTAGCATAAAGGCCCTATGGGTCGTGGCACATCTGGCTGACATCCATACCCACAGCACATGTTGTTGCAGTCTAGTGTCATTTCAGGGCATTGTTGTACTGGCCACATTCCCGGGGGGCCTTCTGGTCAGGTGGCAAGGTTGTCAGCATACTGCATGTAGTGCTGGATGTGGTTGGGTGGTCCTGACTGTTAATTCTGAGCAGGAGAATAGCTATTCACCTGTGCTCGCTGTTCCTCTCGTTCCAGTGCACGAAGGCAGCCCTCTGGGCGAACTCCATCGCTGTATCCGGGAGGGCGTGAAGGTCAATGTCCACATCCGCACTTTCAAGGGACTGCGAGGAGTCTGCACAGGCTTCCTGGTTGCATTCGACAAGTTCTGGAATATGGTAATGAAGCCTCTTTCAAGGGGCTGGACATAAAAACCCTGTCTGTCTGAGAAGTCCTGTTACTCATCCAAGGAATCCAAGTCTTCACACACCTTTAGACAACAGTAGCAGCCCTTCCCGGGGCTTGCGTTTACTCTTCCCTTCCTCCAGGGGACACTGGGCAGTGTCTAAGGACACCCTTTCTTCTTCTTCAGGGCGGAGAGCGCTGCAGACATCTGGTCGCTGGAGACCTAGGGTGTTGTGAAGCACTGTACGGTGCACAAGGCGGTCCCCCAACAGCAAGCAGTAATCCAACCCTAAATACCGTTAGCACCAAGGTTGAGAAACCCAGCCCGAAGGAATAATTTAGTAATTTTAACTTGTATTCATTTAAATGTTTATTGGCTTCTACTTGGGCTGGACTCCATGCTAGTCCCTTGAGGGTTCAGGAAAGAACTTCCACTGTGCTGTATTTGGGAAGGCAGAGGAGGGGACAGGTGAAGTACTGTGGTAAGCAGAGGCCCTAGCCAGGCGTTCCCCAGGATGCTGGGCACTACAGCCACAGCCTCCTGTACCAGCTGCTGGTAGAGAAAAGCCTACCACTGCGTGGTGCTTTGAGGCGCTTCAACAGGAAGCACGAGGGCTTTAGAATGTTCCTTCTCCCTGTGGTCTTCCACGCCAAACTGTTCTTTTCCTTCGTTCGCAGCCATCCAGTCAGTCATTGCTAACATTTAGTGGATGCTGCTGTGTGCCAGGTACTGTTTAAGCCTTGAGTGTGGCTTCCAGTGGATGAGTTGTAGGACCCTTGCATAAATGGAGAAATTGAGTCTAGAGAAACTAGAAGACTGCTTCCAGATCACATTGTTGGGGAACGGAAGTGACAGACTTTCTCCATGATCTTTGTGGCTCCTAAGACGCCATTTTCAGTCATTATAGAATTTGAACCCCAGACCCCGTTTGAATTCCGTGAGTGTTAGTAATTCCCCGAGCCTCAGTTTGTTTCATGTCTAAGATATGGGGAGGGAAAATTAGTATATGTTTGCCTTTGAAGGGAAAGAATTCAAGTGAATGTGTGTGATGACAGTGGCCATAGTGATACTATCAGGTTATATTTGGAGGGTGATTTATAGTTTTCCAAGTAACTGCTCTGTTGCATTCTCCTTTGGCCCTAGGGCAGTCCTGGGAGGTTGATCTGAGGAATCAGGACTTTGTAGCTGTTCTGGATAGAACTCTGGTCAATCTCTGTCAATCACTGTTCTAAAACAAAAAGGTGACTGCAGAGCAACACTTACCAGGGAGTGGGCCAGAACTGCCCTGCGTCAGAAACAGGAGTTTGGGAGGAGTAGCCTGGGATTTGCAGTTTTTAAAAAGCCTAGGAGATGTCTGTGCAGACTGAAGTTTAAGCACCCTTGTCATGTTGTTGTAAAGGCCTTCAGCATCTGAGCAAGAAATCCGTCTGACACAAGCCTAGTGGGAGCAGCTTGGGAGTCTTCCCTGCAAGCCATCTGGTGTCGCCATTTTAATAAGTCACTTGTTTAGTTCTGCTACAACTGGATGTTATTCTGCCATTTTTTTTTCCTTTGAAAGCTATGAAAGTAAATATTTTTAATTCCACTTTGTTTTTTTCCTTCCCCTTTGGACTGTTCTTTTAGGCACTTACTGATGTGGATGAGACATACCGCAAACCTGTTCTGGGCAAAGCATACGAACGGGATTCATCGCTGACTCTTACCAGGGTAGGCAGTTCCCCCGGCCTCCCCCCCCCCGTCCCTCGGGCTTTCCACGCTGGGTGTTAGAACACTGGGCCCAGGGAGCAGGCCATGCAGCTGCGGCACCAAGGCCTTCATCAACCTCACCTCATGCTCCTGGCTCAATACAAACATGTCTGTGCTTGTAACCTGCATATCATAAAAGCATAAAAATCTTTTAGTTTTATAGCACAGAAATAAGCAGGTGCCTTTTCTCTTGACACGCTTCATGATTGACCCATCTTACTTCCAGAACGTTGGTTACAACCTTTGTAAAACAAAGCAGGAAGTTCACACAGCATAACTGAGCGATTCTGTGTCTTTCTGAATGTGGAGGGACAGTGGAAGCTAACGAAAAGGCTGATGTTTGTCACTGCTGTCCTTACAGCTGTTCGATCGGCTGAAACTTCAAGATTCCTCCAAGAAGGAAGCTGACTCTAAGTCTGCAGTTGAAGACTCGACTCTGTCCAGATATTCCCAGACGTCTACTTGGAAGGTGGCCTCCGTGTGGGGCAGAGAAGACACTGACCGGAGCTCACACAAGCGTTCCCGCTCGGTCCCTTCTTCCCTGCAGGCCTCTGCCAGGGATGAGTCCAGGTCAGAGGTGTCAGGGAGAACTATGCCGACAGAAGGGTCCAGCATGGCAGGGACCTTCTCCAGGGCCACCACGCTTTCCAGGGGCCAGTCCCGTAAGAAAAAGCGAAAGCCCAAAGTGGATTACCAGCAGGTGTTTACTCGTCACATAAACCAGATTTTTATTCGAGGCGAGAATGTTCTGCTGGTTCATCTGGCCCAGTGACCTGCTCAGCCTCACTTGAGCCTTGGCGTTTAGAAATAAAGTGCATGACTTGCTGCTCTGCTGTGTCTGTAGCCCAGTGAACCCCGGAGTTGGAATGACTCCCTCTGGTCCTGCCTTTGCAGAGAACAGAGCAGGCTCGGCCCTCTGGAAGATGAACTCAAGGGGAGGACAGGTATGGCAGGATGGATGGGTGTCTGTACAAGATCAAGGCCCTATGTGGGTACGTGAATCTAACTTGGAGTCACGGTCTGCTTCAGACTCAAGGCAAGTGCGAGAATGTCCCTCTGATTTAGGAGTGAATTCACTCCCCCGGGACAGTGTGAAAAAATTAATATGAAATGATTTCTGTTGTAAGAGCTCTAAGTCCTCACAAATTGGAATCTAGGTAGCAGTGAAATGTGCTCACAGCCCTACACTCAGATCTTGTCTCTTGCCTTTGAGTGCTGTGCTATGCAATTTTCTTGATTAACAACTGAAATTTCTGAAGTTTGAATACAAGATCAGGGAAAGTAACCCACATAGGTTGGGGTGACGTTTGGAGAGGTGGTTTTCTCTGGTTGAGACCCTCTTCTTGTTACAAAAAGGACCAGAGGACTGCATCAGTCTTCCCCTTCCCAGAGGTGACCTCTGCAGTTGGCAGCCCAGATGGGACCACTGGATGCTCGTGTGGTGGCTTCTTGTTGTAACTTCTGTGGCATGGTGCTAGTGCATGTACCTGTGGTATTACTTACCCCCTGTGTGTAGCGTGACCTGTCCTGTGGCTTGGTGACAGGAGACCGTGACCCTCATGTGAGCTCAGTAACCTCCATCACATGGCCAATGCCCTTTTCCAGGTGGGGCTGGCCCTGTGCAGAATACCTGTCAGAAAAGAGGAGTGAAAGTTGTATTCCTTTGTCAGGCCAAAGAGATTCCTGGAAAGGACACGGGGTGATTCCTGAGGAGACGCCCTTGCCCATAGCTGGCCAGGGTAACAGCAACACCACAGCCCTGGTGATTGCTTTTACTTGAACCACAGGATGCAGAATAGGCTGCATTTTGATACAGACTGTTAGGCAATGCTGATTTTCTGTTTTGTCAGTTTATGTTTGGTTTTATCTTCGATAACTTAGTTCAAGTGAGACTAAGACATGCTAAAGCAAGTCGTTCCCCTGCTGTCAATAAGATTCTGAGACGCAGGGTGAAGGAAAGTCAGGGAGCTGAACACTTAGTTCTGGTGCTCACTGAACCACTCGTCCCGTGGTGCCAGGTGAGTGGACGTAAGCCCTCTGTACCTCAGCTCTTGCTCCTCAGACACCTACCTCACAGGGGCATGTGACAAAGAGCTCTCGAAAGCCATTTTAGCTTAAAAGTTCCGACCATGCTTAAGTGCCATGAGTCATTTTTACTAGCTCTATTTTGTAGCTTTGTAAGCAGGTGCTACATAAGAAAGTCATCTCTGTAGGTGTCAGGGTTATGAACTCGTAGCTATTGTGAGAAGGCAGGGAGATCTTCAGAGACTGTTCTTCACATTGCATTCCCTCTTCTGTGGGACAGTGGAAGTTCTCCAATTAGCCTCAGTAAGAGAAGCGTAATGTGGTTTGTTTTGTTTTGTTTTGTTGCATTCCCCTGTCATCCCTGCCCCTAGCTGTATGATCATTATCAGAAAAATTTCCCCTGAGTTTTTCAAGGGGTTTTTGTGACAGTATCAAAAGGATCTATAAAGGATACATCCCCAAAGGCAATTTTTAATTTTAATTTTTTTTTGTTTCTTTTGTTTTAAAATGCATTTTAAAGTATATGGTAGAGCCTGATCACGTGTACTAGTTCCTAGAGATTCTAGGTTACAAACTCAGCTGAACAATTATCTTTGGAATCTTCCAGTCTAAATTTTCTTGCAATAAGCATGTCCAAAACTCAGTGTTCAAATTAATTATTTCCCTTAATTGTCATCTGCCAGTCTCTCCTGTGTGGTTGTTCTCATGGCTCGCCCCTTTGTCCCTCAAGCTGAAAGCTGTAGTTGTTACTGTATTTTTCCAATAACGTGGAATCAAGAAAAATATAACTTACGTTCATTTCAGTGCCTAATCAAATGTGACCTTATTTATTTTAAGCACATGCCTGCTTTCACATTTCTATGTAATTTTCTGACATCTGCATAAGGATTTTCTCCTCCCCCAATAAGACAATTCTGTGAACATTCTTTCTAAACCATGTGTGATCTGCCTAGTGTGCATTACGCCTCCATTTATTTGTTTGGTGTGAACAATATTTTGGAAAGAATTCTATCTGCTAAATGTGTTTTCTTTACAAAGCATGAACATTATTTTTTAAAAGAAATCAATTGTAAAAGATGGCTGCTTTTTCTTTATTACTGGAGGAATTTTTCCAAAGGAAAAAAAAAATAGACCCAAATAGTATATAGGTGCTGCTCTACAGACGTGATCATCCAGATCCGTTTTACAAAGCTGCTGTGGAAATAGTGGAGGAAGAAAGCAAATGGGGAAGCAGTGGGGGAGTCCCAGAGCCCCCGCTCAGCTGACGCAGAGGTCCTCCCCAGCTGCCAGGCAGCTGTGCTGCTCGCTGACTCTCTGGAGGCGAGACGTAGCAAGGACAGTGCCCAGCTGCGAACCCTCCGTGCTCATCCTCCCGCATGCTCGCTCACCAGAGGAGTGTGTTTTCAAGACAATTCACAGGATGTGCCTGTGCAATCATGGTCTTCCTAGGAGTTGCCAACTTGGTTAGGTGATAGGGACACAAAAAGGAAGTTAGGGTTTCACCCCAAATGCCTTCAGGTGGCACCGTGCATGGAAGAAGCTCTTCTGTGCTGGCCCCAAGGGCCTATGTACTGTAGGGGGCTGGTTTTAGTTCTTGTGGAGCTCTGCGGCTTCTTCCTCCCAGGAGCCAATTCCCACTAGAGGCGGGCTGTCCCCGAGAGGCTTCACCACCCGCGGCTGTGTCCGAGGCAGGTGCCCCGCTCCCCATGTGCAGCACAAGGTTTAGAGACTCTCTGCCTCACCATCGACATGCATAGAAGTCCTTGCTGGAAGTTGTCGGTGATGAAGGAACCCCGGGGACACCCTCGAGAGTGTCACTGCCACTCCTTGAGAAAAAAGAAAGTAGATTCTTGCTTTCTTTGTATTGCTTCTTACAGAGTTTCCATAGTAGCTGGTAAACTCACAAAACAGAATCAATTCTGTAAATTGCCTATCTCACTTCTCTCCAAATTTTGCCTTTAGGAAAAAAGAATTATTCCAAGACAGCTAGCTGTCGCTGGTGCTGCCCCAGTACTCCCAACCTTGTGTGTTTCTTGTGAATGAAGTGCTTGCTGTGGGAAGACCCAGGTTCAGGCAAGGGGAGAGTAACATGGGATCAGTGGTTTCCCCGCTGCTGTCATTTTTCTCTTCCTGGCCAGAAATAGAATGGAGTCAGCTCCACTTCACAACTTCTGTTCACCAGTCTGTGTTTTCTTCTCCCAGAGGGCTTTTCTTAGTGACTGTAAAATAAAAAAGGAAAGAGAAAAAAAACCCGACACCTCTTTCCTGGATCCGTATTGCAGTGGTGGGCGGCCTGTCATTCCTTTCTGGCAAATTGGGTTGATGGATTTAGGCTAAGCCTCTGGGTTCCTGGCATAGTTTTCTGGGCTCTGAGGAAGGGTTGGGCCTCCTTTGCATTTCGGTGTGTTGAATATTTTTCAAATGTCTGTACATTCTCTTGCCTTCCTCTAATAAATGCAAAAGCTGTCAGGCAGTGGCTTTGGATAGTATGAAGATCCAGAGGAACACAAATAAGTACACCCGAGACTTTCAGTTGGTCTTTTATTTATTTAGAACAAAAAAGTAGTTTGATAAGCAACCAGAGTTACTGCCTCTTTAAACACACTCTGAGAAGGTGGGAACCATCCCTTAGGAAGCCTGTAAAAGCTATTCCCAGCATACTGCGATTGCTTTTGATTTTACCCCTTCACAGAAATTGTGTGATGTTACGTGTCATAGTATGATTTCAGAGCTGTGGAAAAAATACCCAAGAATTGATAAGGCGTATCATTTAAACAGTGATGATCTGACTGAACTGTGTGTGAGCTAGGTTCTGGACGGGCATCCACTCTGCCGCTGTGCTGACGGCGAAGAAGGGCATCACAAGCTGTCTCGAGCAGTGATTTCCTTACTCCATGTGTTCATCTAAAGACATCAGCCTTCTCTTTGGCTACCCTGGGGATGCCCCTGTACACCGAGACTTAGTATGGGTATTTTAGACAAGGCTACCAAATGGATGATCCTGTGTATTTTGAGTGTCACTATTTGTATTCCAGCTGCTAAAAGAAATCTGTAACTTGTAATCATCTCTTTAACCCCCTCCCTGATTATTAATCCCTGATTGTAGGGAGGATTGCTGCTAGTCATGTCAGTTTGCAATGTTCTGCTTGAGAAATGTCTCATGGGAGTCTGGAAATTGTAATAAATACTACTGTGCTCATGGACTGGCTGCTTTGTCTCTGCTGATTTTGAGGGAGTGTCAGTACCAAGTGAAGACCCCTGTCTAGGAAGCAGAACCATTTCCAGCCTTCTGCAGTTTTCAGTTTTGCAGCCTTGAGCCTCTCCTCACCAAAACACAACACACATCTTGACCACAGTCCTTCAAACATCTGTCTTCTTACGTGCTTCTTGAAGTTCATGCTTTACAAAAGGAGCTCAGTCCACATTTTGAATGATCCATGCTGAGCGCCAAGCAATGCTGATTGTCCTGAACCTGTACATTTTACCTGTCACTCATGAGTCCAGGATCTTCAGGACCAGCTGAAATCACCAACAGTCTGCTTCCCTCTTAGTACTCACATTTCTCTATGGGCTATTTGATCATTACATGCTTCTGGAAGTATGTGAATGTGCTACCAGCTTTCCACTGCACAGGCACAGCAAGTAAAGCTGTGGAAGCATTTGCTACACTGATGACTCAAGCTCTCCTATGTGCCCCCAGAACTAAGTCACTTGGGAAGGTGAACAAACAAAACATCACCTGATTCTAAGGTGGGAAATCTCAAATTAACTGTCACAATTCAGCCCCCTCTTGAAAGAATAACCTGGGTGCAGCAGATGAGCATGAAGTTTCTGCCACCACAGGCTTCAGGTCGGATCCTTGCTTGCTCCTGTATTGAGTTCCGATCAAGAATGTCCTTACTAGTCAAAAGGAAGGCCTAACAGCCAGCTCCCTTATTATTTAAAATGTGCTGTGACAGTTTGGCAGGGAAGTGGAGGCCAGTGACATGAAACCCATCTACTCTTCCTGAACTTTCTAGAGAGGAGTGACGGGTGTTTCAATCTGCTTAGCTACCACTAGATGGCAGTGGGTTAAAGAAAACTGCTTAACGACAGATTCCCAGAACAATCTCTTGGATTGAGAGAATCAAGGAAAAATCTGCTACCACCAGCCCCGTGGTAATACAAACATTTCTTACTAATACTGAATTTACTTAATTTTAAGCTCCGCAAGTCTGACATGGCACTCAGCAGTGAATGTGCTTGGGGGAGGGTGTCAAGGAGAAAGACGCTTCCCAGTGTGCGCTGTGCTGGCA